TGATATTATACGCATTGATTGCTTACGTCTCGGCTTATCACTCAATTATTTTGATCTTACAATCGAGATTTTATCGAAAATTGATAAAAGTTCTATTTAGTTTTGTACGACTTTTTACGTTCTGTTCTTGTCATTCTTGCGATATCGTTTCTTCAGCAACGAATATATATATTATTATGCTATCCTCAAGCACGGAGAAGGTAATAATTTTTGATAGCGTGAAAAAAAATACGACGAAGACGAATTTGGAGACGCGCTCCTCTCGCGTGCAGTTTGCTCACGGAACAGCTGCCGCAGTTGTTTGGTTGCCGAGTATTCTCGAGGAAAGAGGGATAAGCCAAAAGACGTTGGTAGCACGTGCCGGTTATGCTCGTGAAGGTTACACACTCACCCTGGCGTATTCCAGATGGACGAGAAAAAAAATCTCCTATAAACAACTACGGGGAACTTGGTTTCGTAGTTGCTTTTCATCGTAGCTTACTCATTCGTCTCGATTATTCTTCCTCAGAAACCGTCGACGTCATGACTATTATTATTTTATCAATTATTGAATATTTGTTACTATTTTCCATATTTCGATATAACAATGATCCGTTATTATAAATTTAAATATAATGTGAAAAATATTATAATATTTGCTTAATGATCTTACTGATAAAAAAGAATGATTAATGAGGAATAATTAGGAGAAACAGTGAGAAGATTTAAAACGCAGATAAAGAAGATATACTGCCAGTAAAATAAAAGAACATTGATTGCAGAAAAATATTCCAAGCAATTATTAAATTGTGTTTTGCAAGTAGAAAAATTAGTAGTCGCGAGAACAGAAAAATTAAATGCATACTTTTTACGTATAGTAAATTTTGTACTTTTCAGAATCGAATATTTATTTATATGGATCATTATATTCTATCAAATATCCCATTGAAAAATGGTAATCATGCATCTCGTGATTTTAATCGCGATATGTTATTACTAATTATATCTTTATACAAAGAAACTCTTACACATTCTAAAACCAATAGCTGCCATTTTATTAAAAAAACTTAAAGAGTTTTGTATTCAAATTTTGTAAGTTCGACAAATATAATAT